AATGAAAGAGCACTCCATTAGATAATTGAAATAGAACCCTCCTCTCCTCTGCTCCTACTCCTTCGGGCTCCAGATACTTGAACTGATATAGGGCCCAATCTGTGTTTTTCCATCTCAAGTTTGGATCTGGGTTGTCGAACCTTCCTTTGATGCATATCTCTTGCATTATTCTCAATCATTTCTTCCACCGCCGCTTGCCCCCCTTCCATTTCGAACTCGAACAGCTTACCTATATCGCGACAGGTGGACACGAGAATTGACTCGTCAAAGGGATAAGCCTCTGGATATTGACTCTGCTCCTGGCTGTCTGGCACACAAAAAGGGGATGGGAGCTCCACCAAATCTTGAGAATAAGAACTGAAAACGAATTCGAGTTCTGCGACAGAGTTTTGGGTTTGCACTGGAGTAGAATGGGGAGGACTTGGGCAATCATACTCGCTGCCCCAGGTGGAATACTTCATCGGCGATTCATCGGAATCCGGTAACATGGTGATTTCAGGAAGTGGATTTCTTTGAATCGGGAGGAATTTCTCAAGAAATGATTGAGCCATCCCTGTGGAGGCGGACACCAGCAGCCAACGAAACGGACTCTCCGACAGCTGTGGGGCTGGATCCAGACTAAAGATAAAAAAGTTTACCAACCTGGGGAGATTGGGCCTGCACTCCTCCACCACGAACTTAAGCCCATTTACTGCTAACTCCCGGCCTTGAGGGGCAACGTCCACCACTTGGTGAGGGTTGCTATATTGATTATTGATTGGGCCAAATTTCCTAACCCATTTCTTAATACTGCAACCCCTTTTTCCAGCGGTCTTAGAAGGTTCCAGCGTTTTAAATTTACTCGAACTCATAACTCCCGCCTCTTGGGGCCCCACCAATTGCATGCACTCTTGGGACCATGCACGACGATTCATATCCCCTAAAGGAGGAAAACGTGAGGTACAGGCGTGAGCTTGCGCCGACGTCGGAAAATTTTTGATCCAATACCGCTCTTTACCGTAATGAATCGGAATCTGGTCCTGTAACTCACCGGACAATCTTACCCGCAACCTGATGAACTCGGATGACCAATGATTCCAATCTACCTCCACTAGCGAACCGATGAATTTGCCAATCTCTTTCGTGAGCTCAATGCTTTTTAGATGAAGCGGTATCCCGGACACCAAAACCCACTGGGTTTCTGAATCTTTACACTCCCTTTCCTCCTCCTTCCAGTGATTGATTTCCAAAATGAAGCTCTTGTAAACACTTTGATCAAAGCTCTTAATGCGGATAGCCTGTTGGACACTGGGACACACTAGAAGCCAGTACCCCTTCTCCTGACTATGTAACGCATAATTAGAATCTATAGCCCAATTTTTACCAGCCCACCTCATGAAATCTTGAACATTACCGCTGGTGAATCTGTCTCCTGCTAACGGCTTAAAGAACAAAACCAAACTTCTTCCCAAAAGTTCTCTTCTTTCCTTCACTCCTTCATCCTCAACTTCAATGTATCGCCCAACTCCGTTGTTGTCAATTCTGCACTTCCCGGCGCCATAGAAACCCCCACTCTTAACCACGTCCGCGTAAGATCTTCCGGAAGGCCGTGGAGACTCAGGCCGCGGGCCCAAATCCCCACTAATCTCCAAGAATTTAGGACTAATCCGACGTTCTAGATGATAGAACTTCTGAAAAAGTGTGATAAGTTGCGCCCATCCGCTTCCCTTTTCAGGTTTTGGCACAAATAACTTGTATACTCGCCCGCTTCTCACCATCTCCGAGATCTGCAATTGATCCACAGGACCCACCCTTTTCCTCCCCACATGGATCACCCGATCTCCATACTTCTTTACGCACCCCTTCGCGAAGTGCCATCCTCTCATGACCGCGGTTTGAAGGACCCCTTGAGGCCAAGACAGTTGAGCCTCGCTCATCAGAATAAACCACCTCCTTTGGCCTTCATCAGCTTGCAATCTGTACCATACGGACTCTCCCACTCCCTCTCGACTGATTAATACCCGCCTGGACCCGAACCATGATTCACTCGAGCACTTGACCCTATCCTCACCGCTACCGTCGCCGGACTCGGGAACCTGAAACCTGCGACCACAATCAGCAGACAACGTTAGAGGACTCCCTCCCCGGACGCTCACCCTCTCCTGAACTCTCCAGCTTCCCCCCGAAGAACTCCTACTGGAACTTTCTCTCTCTGGAACTTTCTCGCTCATCAGAATAACTTTATTGATAGAATTTTGATTCAATGATATTGTTGCAATGGTGTTGTATTGGATATATAATTCGAGGGGAAGGACGTCTTTTAGCAATGAAATGGTAAGAACCTCAACTTATTTTGAGAGACTTGAGTGGAAAGAATTGGAGGAGGAAAATTGAGAATCTCCTCAATTCAAATTTTTTATTTTGTTCATCCAAATTGTGGAATTTGTAAAATTACTTCAATTAATGACATGGAATTAGACTCGGCAATCGGGTCGGGTTGGGTAATTTCGAGTTGGGAACTTCGGTTATGGGTCGGTTCATGTTTGCTTGGCTTATTTTGGGTCAAATATTGACCCAAGTCATTCGATTTCGGGTCGGATTACGGGTCATTTTGGGTTATGAGCGTTCTCAGAAACAATATCAAACATGCTTCATATTTTCTTAAAGAACACAAATTTTCAAATATGCATGACAATAGTTTACCTAACACATGTCAATTAACATATTCTCAAATCCTCCCACGCTAATGAAATGAAATATAAATTGCGCAAATCGTCAAAAAACAATCACAAGAGTAATACTAATACAAGAAACACTTGATATTTGATTACCCTTAAACTCCGAACATGTCATTCAAATCCTTGTGATTTTTTTTAAACATCTCACCAATTTATAAGTGATTTTATCATATTTTGGGAGTAATATATTAAATGGAACGGGTCTAACGGGTCGACCCGCTAACCCACCCGAACCGAAAAATCACGGGTTATCAAGTTCGGGTCATTCGGATTTCGGGTTACAAAAAATTCTAGTTTTCGGGTCGAGTCAACGAGTCGGGTTATAATTTGCCAAGCCTACATATAATTTTAAAATTTGTTGGAAACTTTAAACGATATGATTAACGATACAAATGAATATTCCTTAAACTTCCTGTAGATATCCTAAATCTTGATTGGCAAATGGCAATGTCCTTTTAACAACAAGTTGGAGGGTGTACTGTGTAGTTTCTCTAGAAAAATCAATTTGCAAGTTGCCAATATCTGCTGCTCCCTATTTAATTAGCTTGGAAGGCTAATCCAAGATCAACACCTCCACCTAATTATTGGAATATTACTTGGTCATATCAATGACAGTTTCCAACACTAGATCAAAACAGAAGAAACTTGTAAGCTTCAACTTCCAAGACAGCCGGTCTCTTCCCAAGTTTAATTCCTTTTGATGACTCTTCTTGGATCAATCGCTTCACATTCGAAAGGAACCAAATCCAAATGACAAAAATCCAATCTCCCTAGAGATTACATATATACAAAGAAGCCAGCTAATGAGCCTGATTATAAATTAATTTATCAACACTTCATAGCTGGTTATAGTACTCAGTTTCACATCAAATCACACCTCCAAAATCCCTACGCATCGAACTGATGGTTATATCAAGTAATTTGCAATACATTTTTAGTATTGGAAACCCCCAATGTGCATATCTTCAAATTATAACTAATTAACTATTGGTCGTTTGGTTGGAATAGTTACAAACTTACAATGCATGCAATGTATATAATATGTCTTTTTTTAATTTTATGCACAAATAATACATGCATTGTTTGTTTGATGTGACACAAACTATCACTCAAAATGAGTGATAGTTAAATCTCAAGTTTTTGTTGAGATTGTTGAGACGGTTTGATCGAGATAACATTTTCTTCTTCTTCCAACTATGTCCCTACCTTTTTATTTGTGTTGCTTTTTTATACTAAAAATGACATTTCACCCAAAATGTAAAGTAATTTATTTAAACACTACAATAACTATCACAGAAAGCAAACGATGTAAACTACAATACACCATCAAAATCAAATGACCCTTATTTCACGATGAAACGATACTCCCAATAATATGGTCGTGGGATATAATGTATTCATTGGTTGTTATTATTACTTTATTATATTGATTCTAGGATTTGAGTTAGGATGGGGTTTAGCCATTGCAGTTAGGATATAGTTTCCATTTGTACTAACTAGGGTAGGGTAGACTGGGATTGTGATATGGGGTCGGACCATGAGATTATTTCTTGACACAACTTGATTAAGTTTGTCGAGTAAATTGCAAGAAGGAAGACTAGGAATTGCAATTCGTTCGCACTATAATGTCCAAGTAAATAGTTTGATATAAATGGATAAAACAAGCACTTCGATGATAGAAAGATACTGTAATTAATTAGATAGGGAATGCATTTTGGATCCCCTTCTTCAGAGGAGCAAATGTTGTGCTTATGGCTCTGTCATTGCTGGTTAAAGAATACACTTGATGTGATCATTGTGTCAGCGACTCTTGAATGGTTGCAAGAATCAATTTGGTGTCACGGGCTCACGGCGACAAGGTTTGATGAAGATATTTGCATTTCTAGTTTACGGAAACTCTTGCATACGAGAATGTACAGTTTGTCATATGAGGTACTAAGGAAATTTTATGACAAACACGTCCAATAAAAAATTCTCGTTTACCCCTCACAATATCATAGCTCGAATTCTGATGACTTTATGGTTTAACATTCATCTGCCAAGAGTGCTGCCTCAAATGAAGTTGCACTAGACGATTTGAAAATTGCCAATTAGATTTTTTAAGCTAAGCAAATCCAAATTCGAAAACCCAAACTCCTAGAGATTTACATATTGACAAAGAAGAGAACTTTGACTTATTAATTGAACTAATCAACAGCTTATCGATATTTACATTACATCGCTTTTTTTGTTTCAATATCAAAAACATTGTTCCCAAAAAAACAAAGAAATTGAATTAATTAACTAATGAATAGAACCCGACCCGACCAACTGGAGCGGGCGGGGCGGCTCCATGGTCCGCCTCTTCCACAGGTTCACTTCTTTCCGGGGCCTTAGCCTCATTCCTTCCACGTCAGCAGCCGAAACGACCCGAATCGGCGCCGAGAAGGGAATCATCGTCTCCTCCGCGCCCATCTCATCGTCGCTGTACCCGCCTTCGTCGCCGTCGGAATCGTACTCCCGGCCAAATTGATCATGATCTGGCGCAATCCGAGCCGTCCAATCAAAATCCCCAAACCCATCCCGATGCCCGCTCGCAAACCGCCTCATCTGGCTCAAACACGGCGCCCTGTCCGTCAGCGGCTGCCCCGATTCTTCCGCCGCCGTCGCCCTTTCCCCGCCCAGTTCGTCGGAGACAAATAAATTATCGGCGGCGGAACTACTGTTCGATCTCCTCTTCCTCCCCGGAGCCGACGACGGGCCCAATTTAAACGACCCGGATCCGAATATCTTCCAGATCCCGGGCGACCCGGCTTGTTGCGGCTTCGGGTTCTTCTGCTCCTTCGCCGCCGCAGACTTCTTGCTCTGTTTCTTCTCTTTTGCTGCCGGCTTGGGAATGACCCCGGTGGTCTTTTTACCGCCGCACTTCTTGTGCTTGATTTGCCCGATGCAGGAGATCTTCGGCGACGTCGGCTCCTCCGCCGCCTCACCGGACTTGAACCGCCCGCGCACTTCTCGGGGAACCCTCGGCAGGAAAATTGGGCCGGAGAATCCTCTGTAATTCCCCTGGTAGTTTGGTACCTTGTGGTCGGAGAAGGGCTGATGCTGATGCTGCTGCTGCTTATTGTTGTGGTTAGGGTCTCGGGTCGGGCTGAAAGGTGGGTTGTTGAAGTTGATCGAAGAAGCTGCTTTGAGGAACTTGATTACGTTGTGATGGTTGCTGTTCTTCGCCTTGCTCTGTTTCTCCATTGCTAGGCTAATTTCTGAAGAGCAGGGGAGAGAATAGTGGATTGGTTTTGGAATTGGAATTGGAATTGGGTTATCTTTTCGGAATGGGATTATTAGATAGATTGTATTTATATGGCTTGAAATTTTGTATATGGGGTGCCTTTGATTTGTGTGGAGACCGTGTCAGGAATTATATAGAGATGGTCAAAGGAGGTGGTGGGAGTAAGAAATTGATCTTCAAAGTTATTAATTAATTTCCCACGTTATGTTGTGGCTTAATTAGCAAATGTTTTGTATTTTCAAGGGCAACTTACCATCCTCTCGTTGATTAAGCTTTGTTACCTTCAAGTAGGGGTGGGCATTGGGTGGGTCGGGTGGATTTTGACCATAAAATGCACCCACCCGCGCTTACACGGATTGTTATTTTTTAACCCACCACCCACCCACATTTAGTCTCGGGTTGGGTCGGGCGGATGGTGGATGATGCGGGTGGGTTTGTGGGTTCACCCACATCATAATGTCTATAATATAAAGGAGTCAACTTGACATGATAATAAGTGAAGAGAATCATCGAGGGAAACAAGAAGTTGAAATAAGGCGAAAAATGTTGAATTAGTTCTTAAATTGGATAGAAATTCTATTATGAAAGAGTTTTCTACAGATTGAGACGATTATTAGGTGCAAGAAACTAAGGAAAATAATTCCACAAAGGAAAGAGCGGTGATCTAGGCACAAGAATTAGAGGAAAAAGTAAAGGGAAGAAGAGGGGATCTCTATTTGGAAGGTTGGCTTTGAGGTTCAAACTCGAGGAGCAGTCCGAGTTTATATCTAAAGTCTACACTCTCCTCTCTCTAGCGCCAACAACTTTGATCTTTTTGCTGTTGGGTTGAGCGGGTCACCCGCACACTCACCCACAACCCACCCACCACCCGGCGGATGGCTCCCAGCGCAACCCGTCACCCACCCACTGACCCATCCACTTAACGAAATTCAGGTCAAATGCGGGTGGGTCGGTCCAAATCCGCGGATGATCCGCCCGCATGCCCAGCCCTACCTTCAAGTACGTGGATGCGAATAGGTAATGAAATTCTTTAAATTAATCGATAATCTAAATTTGAAATTTCAAATGAAAATATGGTTAGTGAAAAACGAATTTATAATTTTTATCTGACTTGAATTCGATTAAGGAAAGAGATTTAGTTGATGTTGCATTTTCGCCTTAGATGTAACCATCTTCTAAAAGGAAATAAAAACCTCTATAAACATTGATCAAACATAAATTTCATCGTGAATGTGTTCTAAGTGTAAATATAATTTATCATGTTGTTAACATTGACCAACATCAATTTCTCCTGTAAAACATTCATGCAAAGCATAAATATAACCACATTATGAAACCATAATGAAGATTGTAAGTTGTAACTTGTATGAGTTAAGTAGGTTTAAATTTAATCCATTAGGCAATAGCTTCTTGTGAGCTATTATGCTACGCCGAAAGTCAAACTTGTTCAACTCTACTTGATAAACCCAAACTAGCAAATAGCAATATCGATCTCCATTAAACAAAAAGAATAGAAAAGGATAAGAAGAAACTTATAGTATGTTCGTCATTTCCACGTGCCTTGCAAATTCATACACTAGTTGATTAATGTAATGGGATTTCTAATTTTTCCTTGCTGAAAATTCATAATTATGCAGCTGAAAACGAAATCTATTAATACGAAGAAACCTACCAATGCCCCCAATTTGTCAAATACATATATTCATTATAATTATTGGATGGTTCAAAGAACCAACCAACCAAGCAATAGTGTAAGAGCCAGCCGGCAACATTAATTAATATATTTATATAGGCTCTCCCCTACCATGCAATTTGTTATATCTTATAGTTCTTATTCAATTTGTCTTCTGTAGAGGTTGATTTTGTATACATGTGAGACTCGTTACAAAGTTGAAAGGGTCGTGGAAAAAAAACAAAATTCAAACTCATGTTAATCAATACGTGCAAAGATTAATTAAGATAATCATGTGTGTTTCGTTGCAACGAGCGATTAGCATTGTAGAACCGTATAATTCGACGATATTAATATATGTTAATGTTTATTCCTTTGAGTCTTAAGCATATTAACCGGAGATTGTCTTTGGCGATATTTATGTAGTTTTTATTTGGTTGATTGCCAACGGCAGCCTTTGTTTTTCACTAAAAGTCACATATGTACAAACGTTGTCCTAATTGGGGCATTTTCTTCTTCTCCTTATTGTAGCGTAGAAATTAGTGTTCTTGGCCTTGAGCCGTCAATGGCTCTCCACTCTCCAGCTGGTTATGTAAAACAAGAGATATCGTGCATGTAAAGACAAACATATGTTCTTTAATTGACTTGAGATGAGAGGTATTTGGCGCACTCCCTCTGTTTTAATAAATCGTCTTGACTGTTAAACATATATACAAAACAATAAGCGCACACCTTTTTGCAGTTTGTTCAAATGAACGGAAGGAGACATTAATTAGGACCAGTTTTTTTGTGCGACATGATGATCCATGGGGTTGGTAAAAATTTCTACTAAAAAATAATTTTAGATAGAGACTATTTACATTTAATCAGAAAAAAAATTAAAAGATATGCATTATAATATCTACACCTCGTTGTTCATATACCAAAATAATACATTTTTTCATAAGAATAATAGGGATTTCCTACAGTAACTTGAAGTAAGGTGACTTGAATTTTTTTACCTGTGATAGCAGGTTTCACAGGTCGCATTACGTAAAATACAATAAGCATTACGTAATGGTTACATAACATATGATAATCTTACGTAACAGTTGTAAAAGATCATTACGGAAGCCTTACGTAATAGAATGCGTCTTTACGTAATGAGTATTAACCTCGCGTTACGTAAAATGCTAAGTCATTACGGAAGTCATACGTAACGCTACTGATTTAACTGTTACGTAAGAAATAACTGTCTTTACATAACCTTTACGTAATGGAAGGTCTTTTTACGTAAAGAGTATTAACCTCGTGTTACGTAAAGTGTTAAATCATTACGGAAACCTTACGTAACGCTTCTGATTTAACTATTACGTAAGAAATAACTATCATTTCGTAACCTTTACGTAATGAGTGTGTATTTTACGTAACAGTTGGAAAATGTCATTACGGAAGCCTTACATAATGGAAGGTCTCTTTACGTAATGAGTATTAATGTCATGTTACGTAAAAAGCTAAGTCATTACGAAAGCTTTACGTAATGCCTTCGATTTCACTGTTACGTAAGAAATAACTATCGTTCCGTAACCTTTACGTAATGAAAGGTCTCTTTACGTATGAGTATTAAGCTCATGTTACGTAAAGTGCTAAGTTATTACGGAAGTCTTACGTAACGCTTCTAATTCAATAAGAATTAAAATAAGGAAAGGATAAAATAAGGAAAGCAAATAAAAAAGAAAAAGGAAAGAAAAAAAAAAGAAAGGTAACTTGTTTAAGTGGTGACCGGCAAACCTTTGTAGCCATTAATTTCTTTTCCTTTTTTTATTTTTTATTTCTTTAATCAATGGTTTAAAATAAGTTTGATCAATTTTAACGGTTTAGATCTATTCAAGTTACCTAACTTGAAATTATACCCAAGTTACTGTAGGAGGTCCCAAGAATAATATAGGTTTTTAATTTTTTGTAATTAAAGGTTCTACATAAGGGATTCGACGAACCTGAGATTTTCATGTTTTAGACTAGCGGTGTTATCACTAGACCAACTTATTCGTCCAAAATAATAGATTATGTGAGGGGAAAAAACATTTTCGTTTCCTTAGATAAAGATTACTGCCTTGCTAGCTGTGCAGATGTAAAAACACATATTATTACGTAAATTATACAAGTAATAACAAAGCAAAGGCTTAGTATTTCTCAAGGCTTGATCTGCCCAAAGCAAGAGATCTTGGGCGAAGTAGGCTCGTCTCGTCGGAGTTGTTTTCCGGCGAGATAATTAGGATTCTGGTCCGATGAAACCTTGATGTCTCGTCGGAGTCTGAGCGGAGGAGATGATCGTGGGAGGAACTTGAAGATGAGTTTCATGCAGTTGTTGTACTCCTTCTTCTTCGGCTCATCATTGGCTTGCTGCTTCTCCATTATCGTCGAGTTGTGTACGGTTGCTGCTGCTAATCAATACTTGAGCCCTCAGTCAGTCTTGCTATGAGTCATGAGATGCTGCTTTTTTATATGCCTGTATTGGGCTATTGGCGGAAGGGTGGGATCTCAAGGTCAACAGAGTAGAGTTTTTGATTGGTCAACGAATTAGGGGGGTAGAGGAGCTGGGAAGTCTTCGTGGGTTTATTATGATAGCCACACGTGGTTCACGTTTGCATAATGTTTGTTAGAGGTCGGCTGCTTTGGTCCGGTTGTCAAAGTACGTGCATCGGTGCATGGATGGATGGTTCGAGGAAGCAAACCAAGAACTAGTAGCAGTCTAGTCTAGCTGGGAGTGTTTCAAAAAAAAACTAGTCTAGCTGGGCAGCTAGCAATTTACTATTAGCACTATGAGTTGAGTTGAGTTGAGTGGACCGTCCAAAATATCAAGCCCATGACTCACATCATAGGCCCATCATCACAATTTGATTAACTCAAGTTTCTAAAGTCATACAGTAGGAGGAAAAGGTTGAACGATTCCAAAATCTATATCATGGCCCCCATCATTTATAACTTTGATTATGTTATGTTGGACACGTTTGGTGGTTCAGTGGAGCCTTGCATTTATTGATGGTAAACCGTAAAAGCATGATGTACTATTTCAGCTGGTCAATAAAATACCTGGCCGGCCCATGAATATTGGAGGCCTCGTGCCAAAAATAAAATGTGGCTCGAATTTTTTTATTTTGTATAAAATAAAATTTTCTAAAAATTATTATGAACGCAAGAAGATGGAAACTTGCTGATAAATTATTTTTAAGTCATTGTCCACAGAATGGGGTTGATTGATGATAGTTGAAACAAGAAGACACAATACAAAATTGATTATTGAGAGAG